TCTTTTGTTTCACAATCCACACCTTCTTATCAGCTTCATATCCCTACATAAGAATTCCTGAGCGATCACCATATCTATTAGCAAATTTTCTCTTTCCAATTTCTTTAATAAACATCATTGGGTGATCACCAGGTACATTCTGATCAAAGTTTTTCATCAGAAGCATCTTATCATTTTCAGTTTATCAACTTTTCTCTTCTTCTCCTTTCTTCATCAGCTGTAATAGTACAAGAGGACAAATGATCAATGTTAGCATCTAGGACAGGAGAGACCACGACTCTCTCAGATGTCTCTGAGTCTTTTCCATCACCAAAACTTGAAGTCTTGAACTCATCACCAAATTTTCCAATTAATTTGTCTTTGAGATCACAATAGAGACCAATCAACCCACCAAGATTGGCCTGATGATGTGAGATTTGCTTATTCTTTTTAGAATTCTCCATTTCAAGCTCAAAAACTCACACACCTAACTTTCCAAACAATAGGTCCTTCTCAATGGACTCCTGCTTCAAAATTACGATCTCTTGTTTGAGCTTAGAAATAATTTGTTGAGAGTCTTCATCACCTCCTTGTCCTGAGCCGATAAATATCCCTTTTCCTCTTGATTGAGGAATAGAGTCTTGAAAACCAAGTAACTTGGCTAACCTTACAGATGTAGAATCATGCTTTGGAGGTGGTGGGGCAGAAGAACTTCCAGAGACGGAATTTTCCTCATTAACTAAGAAGTCTTCATCAAAAATTGGACTTTGATCATCTTGATCAACTTAGGCTGGTTCAACGATTGGGCTTTGATCATCTTGATGAACCTGGGATGGTTCAACGATTGAAGTTGGTTGTACTCGTTCAGCAATAAGCACTCTCAGCCTTGGATCTCTACATCTTCTCTTTCTTGGCATCAAGGAGGCATGAGAATCGTCTTTATGACTCCCAAATGGAGACTCAGTAGTAACAGAAACTGCTTGGGGAGGCTTCCTCGCAGTTGACTGTAATTTTTCAATAAGGGCTTCCATCTATTTGGGCGTTGGATTGTTTGGTTGCTTGAAAATATTGATTTCATTCTCTGTCTCAGCTGGAGAAATCACGGGTTCATTGACTGGCTCCTTCGATGGTTCAAACATATGAAAATCCTCACCCTGATCATCATCATCATCATCATCATTAGCATCATCATCATCATCATCATTAACATTATCATCATCAGAAACATCATCTGAAACCTCAAATGAAAAACTAAGATTTGTTCTTGATGGCGCCACATGTTCCTCTGCCACCATAGCAATTGGAGTACTAGCAGATTGAAAACCTTCTGTCTCTACAAATTTTACCAGTGCTTTTGTACCCTTGGAAAAAAAACCTTTGACACTTTTCGTACTTGTTTCATGAGTCCAAAGTTGTTTGGACCTAAGGATTTGACATCAACAGTATTAGGGGTCCTTTACAGCTCGGGATGTATGGCATCAAAGATCATTTGTAAGAACTAAGGATACATCAAGAAAAGATCATTCTTTTTCGCAGAAAGGTTGCTCTTCATTTCGTCAAAAACAAATTTAGAGAAATTATACTCCTAGTCCATGGTCAGCGCTACAAAGGCAGATGTAGCTGTTTGGCTTATCTCGTCTGACCACCCTTTCTTCCCGAGATGCAACTGAAAAAAGTATGAGACAAGAATCTCCAGTAAGGAGGAAGTAGCTTCTTGACTGTTGGAGGAAAAATTCCTTCGTAAGTCATCTTCTTTAACACTTGTGTGATCTTGGTAGCACGAAGTTCTATTGGAAAGTAGATTAATCTCCGAATCATAGCACTTCCCGAATGACGTGCTATGTAATGATAATATGCTTGCCTTTCACAGAGGATTCAATAGCTCCAGTACCACCAGCTCCAGCACAGTTGAACGACACATTCCTCTAGAAATCGTTAATCAGATCATTGCATATAACTGGATTGGCACGAAGACCATGGGAAATTCTACAATTGTTCAAACCCACGATCATGGATTTGAATTCATTGTGTGTGGCAGGTGGATCCAGGAGATATCCATCGATATTTTGAGAATCAACAAACTTCAACTAATCCGTCATTTAACTGCACTAAATAAGCTAAGTGAGAACAATAAAAAATTAAAGTTAAAACTTTATTTTCTAAAAAATTCAAATTTTGATTAAAATGTTGATTTCGGTCAAAAGATATTGATTTCGGTTGAAACCTAGTGAATTCGGTTGGTCAAACTAGAGATTTCGGTCAAAGGGGATGTTTTCGATCAAAACAAGTTGTCTTCGGTCGAATTCGATTGATATCGGTCGGATCCTGGTCAAACCAAAAACCTGATGATTCAAAATTTTTAAACCCTTTATAACTTTGCCAGAAAACATCGTTAACTCGCCAGAAACCCTTTTGAAAACCTACAAAAACTTCCAAGAAAGGCATAAAACCGAAGCATGTAACTCGTAAGCTATATACCTATTTAAAATCAAAAGAAGTTTGATGATTTGAGCCGAAGATGAACAGATGAACAGTGGGTGAAAGGGATTTCGCGATGACCAGTGAGAATAAAAGGTTTTCGCTTGGGTTTTGGGAAAAGATTGATTACGTTGATGATGAATAAAAGAGAAAAGGAAAACCCTATAAACCCTTAAAATGGGTTCTCAGCCCATTGTGACACCGAATTTGGTGGGCCCCAAAATGAATCTATTTAACAATATCATTTAAATAATTCGTTTCTTAGATTTTAAAAAAAATGGAAATAAATAAAATAAAACTAAAATTTAAAATTTAAAAGAACGCAATTAAAAGCCAAATAAAAATAAAATAAATAAAAAATTAAAAAATAAAACTAAAAATTTTAGAAACAAAAATAAGGTAAAATAAAAAAACACATTTTAATAAAGAGATTTAAAACATTTTGGGATCAAAAGTCTTCAAGCAATTTAATATCGTTTCTCAGCGCACACCTGCATTAATAGCTCTGGTCAATCACCAATATTATGGTCCACTTCAACAAAAAGGATATTTGCCAACTGGACAGATTATAAGTGACAAGACATTGCAATTACATTCCTAAATAGACCATTTTGCTGACGACGACCAAGGATATTGTAATCAACTTAAATTCTGCAACGAGATCTACAGTCATCCTTTAGTCTTGAACCAATTCAATTTTAAGTGCACTATAATGCATTCCCCACTTCAGACATACCCTAGAAATCAAGGAATTCCAAAGAGTTCTTTACTTTAGGTGAGTGCTCTGTTATTTGAGAGAGAAGATGGATATAGAGATGCATATGTTGTATCTCAAGCCGGATCTCTTCCAATCACACAGAGGGACAACATATAACTAACATAGATAGAGGGATAGAGAAATAGAAAAATGCATATGTTGTGTCCCAGGTCAGATCTCTTCCAATCATGTAGAGGGGACATCATATGATTGACATAGATAGATAGAGAGATGCATATATAGAGATTCATAGAAATAGAGATGCATATGTTGCGTCCCAGGTCAGATATTTTTCAATCACGAAAAGGGGGCAACATATCACTGACATAGAGGATAAGAAAGAACAAACAATTTCACATATACGTACTTTATCAGAACCCCGAGTCACCTTATCAGTACTAGAATTAAGGACATAAGTGTGACATCCCCATTTTCACGACCAGAAAAGACCGATTTTGTTTACGCTTTATAAAAATCAGAGTACCTCCTTTAATAAAAATGTTGCGGAATTTGTTCCTAGTAAAACATGATAAATACGTTATTAAAGCATTTTCGAAGAAAAGTATTTTTATTCATTTTAAAACATTTGGGATATCATCGTCAACACAGAAACATAAACATAAACAGAACTTACATTCATTATCACTAGTGATTTATATCTCCTTAATCTCTTAGTGTAATGTGACTTTATATCAACACTTGTGATATAAATAAACTGAGTGAGTCAGGTTGGGAAACCTGACAAGTAAATAGGGTTTTCAACCAACAATAATATAATTATTATGTTTAATCATCAGATAGTTAACCCAATTACCCATCCCTATTATCTTCTTTACTCTTAAGGATCTACCTAAGAATCAACTATTTCTCATTCATTCATTCCTAAGGATTAACCTAAGGAATAGGTACGAATTCTATCGTTGTCAATGACATAGATGTGAAGCACAACTGCTAGTTCTATCACTTAGGCGCAACTGCCAGAATTATGACATTCTCTATGAGGTGCAGCTGCCAGTATTGTCCTTCGAGCACAGCTGCTAGGGTTATCTCATTTATTGACAATATCGTTTTCGAGAGTCCACTTGCAATTCATGTCAATGGGTTTTTAGAGTACACCGGTGAACACATCGTTCACGACACCTACAGGTTGTGAACCTGCTAGTGTTCCACTGGACTGTCTAGAATAGTCTGTGGTTGTCATCCATACTCTGCTAGATGATAGTGCTAGCATTTGGGAACAAGGCTTCTCAAATCGTCCACCTCTCACCCTTACCTCATGGTCTATATCACCTCTCAACTCATTATCCAACTCATGTTTTACCCAACATATTATGTAGATATAAATACATATACAGTTTAAATCATATAAAACTTGTATAAATTCGTTCATCCAACATAGATAGCAAGTATACAGATAATATGCACACATAGCATGTAGTTTATATAAAATATTTCATATTTGTGTGTAAGATGAAAGGTACCATGCACTCACTTGACTTGAAAAGGTGGTGACTCGACACTCGGATGAAACTCCATCTACTTTAAACAACTCCTTTGATAGAACCTAGTATCATTACCACTAGAGTTTAGTCTAATGATGGATGAGACTAATTAGTAGTCTAACTATGATTACTATTATATAAGCGTTAACCCAATACTTTTCACCCACTATGTATAGATAGGGGCCATACATGGAACACTGGAGGGCAGGATCATTTTGGCATATAGCACTTCTAAAATCCAGCAACCCAAGCGGCCTTCCAAACCAGATTCACCGTACCATGAGTGGTTAAAAAGAAATTATAACGACACTTATATAACTCATAATAATAGCCAAAATATTTATTATAAGGTCCTAATAGCATTACTATATTTAAATAAAAACTATATTTAAAATATTGTAGGCGTATCTTACCTACGAAGGGGTTTGGCTAGAAGTCAGGCTATTCAGGGGCAGAACTTCCCAGCCAAAAGCACTTCTTCTTGGAGCCGTCGAGCGCTCCGGGGCTTTCTTCTAGCGCTAAGGGAGTTTTGGTAGGTTTAGAGAGAGTGTAGAGTGAAGAAAAGATTGGAAAGGTGTAAAGAAAATGAGGGTGGGAGAGGTTCTATTTATATTGTGAAATATGGTTGCACTTGTTGCCATATGTCCCCATCTGGTGGCAAGACTTGGGGAGAAAGCAATGGCCAAGATTGTGCCATGTCACCCATTTCCGCACAAACACACTTCCGACTTCTAAAATCCATAACTTTCACATACGAGCTCCGTTTTAACGTTCTTTATATCCACGCGCAAGTAAAAAGAAGATATACAACTTTCATTTTGACTCCGTTGGCATAAAATTAATGAGATCTTCAACTTTCATTATGTCCGCGTAAAATTCATAACTTCTACACACTGAATCTGTTTTCGTTTGTCTTTTTATTGTTGAGTTCCTATTAATGAGATATTCAACTCTCATTTAGGTCGTGTAGGTCAAAAACCATTCGAACTAAAATTCGAGTTTCGGGCCGTGCACTGTGATGCCAAATCTTAGAAAATTCATAACTTCCTCATACGAAGTCAGATTTGGGCATTTTTTTTATGTTCTCGGTTTAACGTATACTAAAACTTTTGTTTAGATAACTAAGGCTAAAAAGTACTCTATTGTAAATTCACTATTTAAGTCTCCCGATGTCGTGCCAGTTTTTCCGTAAAACTTTGATCGGCCATAACTTCTTTGTTATAACTCGGATTTCGATGTTATTTATATGTACGGAACCCTTGTAACGTATACTACAACTTGTTTAAGATTAATCCTTCTAAATAATACTCCATTAAAAACTCATTTTTGACGCTCATTGTCTCTAAATTGACTAGCACGGATCTATGGGTGTTACAATTATCTCCCCCTTAGGATGATTACGTCCCGGAATCATCAACAAAACAGGGTAGTATAATGACTCCATACATTATCTCTTCATACTAGGTAATGATCGTAACTTCTATGTTTCTTCAAATGCATATCTAACTCCTAGTCTTCTTGACTGCAAGCGGAGCTTGATCTTGCACATGTTCTCTATGTCTTGTTACACTTTCAATCACAACCTTCATGTCACAAACTCGCTCTTTGTCAGAGACTCCTTCTTCTTATTAACCAACTTAAGATAAGTTTATTTGATTTCCACGATAGACTGATGGGTCACGTTCTAATGAACTCCCATCGTATGTTGCAACGCTCAGACTCAGGTCTCTTAGAGTCAAATTACGGAATGGAATATGATTTCCTTCATGTTCTAATGTAATATAATCACATATTAACATGTAGCATTTCTAGCTA